TATCAGGTTTCTTCTCCTCCCCAGTGAGATAACCTAATTTTCCACGGGCACCAATAGCCATCTTAGCTGATTGTGCCCACTCCAAATAATTTGTACCATCAAATTTTACTGTAGTAATGATCCCAGACCCAAAAATATCACTACTACCTCCAACACCCAGTCCCACAGTACCGATAGATTTCATATCGGTATTCCAACTCTCCATCTTACTTCAAATAGTTCAACAATAAGAAAAAATAGATTGGAGACCTTCAAAAAATAATTTAATATCACACACACAGAAACCAACCATTCCGGAAGAAGAAAACCCTAGCTAGAGAGAAATCTCTCTCCTTTCCACACCTCTCAATAGAGAAAAGAGTGAATCGATCACTCCGGGAGGCTCAGAAAATTCCAGAAACCAAACCACCCTCTTCTGAAAATCAAAAGAAAACTAATAATACTTGGGCGCCCAAGATCAGATAAAAAACAAAGAGTCCAACTTTTCTGGGACTCTTCCCCGTACTCCGGTTCTTCCTAATTTTGATGCCGAACAGTAGATCACCTTCTTGATGACTAGATCCCACCAAAAAATCCAAGAACTGGGCAATTTATAGCAGATCGATCAGTTCTTTACTACTTCATGCAGTCGACTGATCTAGGGCTGCATGAGAATGCTTCAAGAAATCCTAGCCGATGCTCTGATACCAAGTAGAAATCTGCCGAATTAAAAAAATATGAAAGAAAAGTAGTTTCTTGAAGAGAGAAGGAAGAGAGAAGGAGAAGAATAGAAGTTGAAAAGAAAAGAGAGCAATAATTTGGCTACCCCCTTCACTTATTATTTATACTAAAAATAATAGAACAGTACAAAGACAACTATGCCCTTATAGGGCKGCAAAACATAAAACAGCATGTATAACACTCAAAAACATAATAAAATTTGGACTCACATAACTACTGTGGTCCCCATCTCCTATCTAACAACTAACATAAATAGAAAGACATCATAAAACTGATTAATCTTCAACAATTTCACGTAAACATTTCTATATTGAACTTTTTGTATATGTATATATGTAACATAGTCTGCAGAGCATTAATTAGCAAAGTTCTTGTGTTTATGAAAATCCAATATAAGGTGTTGTTAGATGACTAAGAAAAGAGGAACATTCTTTCATTCTTTACCTTTGCTTATTTGATTATTTTCCAGGTTGATGAGAAGCAGAAAACCGTTCTGCTCACAGAACAGGGTTACGAGGATGCAGAAGAAATCTTGGATGTAAAAGATCTATATGATCCTCGAGAACAATGGGCATCGTATGTTTTGAATGCGATAAAAGCAAACGAACTCTTTCTAAGAGATGTAAACTACATTGTCCGTGGCAAAGAAGTTCTTATTGTAGATGAGTTCACTGGTCGAGTAATGCAGGTACACTATTTATCTGGTAATTAAAATGCACTTGGAAAGAAATTTCTTAGTACAGAACTATGTACTTTGCGTCAAGGTTTAAAATGTTGATGTCGATGGAAATGTCGCTTACCAAAATATAGGACATATGTCGGAAGAGGGGAAATATTGTAAAAATTAGAGACATTGTGGAAATATTATGAAATATGTAGAAATATGCGAAGATATTTTGTAAAATGATAAAAGAAGCATTAATACATATTTCTAGACTATTATCTTATTCCCAACCATTATATAAAACTAAGAAACTAAGATCAATAACAAATTAGT